CTCCTCCTCCTCCTCCTAATGCTGCCTCTCTTTCTCTCCCCTGGCTTACCTACCACGGACAGGCAGCCCCTGTTTTCTTAGAGCTTTCTAATGTTGTTAGTAGACTGTATGTGGAACTAGTAGGGCATCTGGGATGTTTTGTGGCGATCACGTACATTCGCGTAGTGCAAAGGTGTTTGTGTGAATGTCTGGAGAGAGGTTTATTCCAATTTTGATAATCCCTGCCTTGGAAAATCTAGAGTACTGAAGACATGGGCGTGAGAGAATGACTCAGTTTATACATTGAGTGCAGGTATATTGAATGAATGAAAGGAGCTACTGTTTCGGGGTTTCAGCCTCCTCCCCTTCCCAACTCTCTTGGGGCAAGTCAGTTTCTTGTTGGTGCTGTTATTGCTTGCATGCATGGGGCATTTGCTTGTCAGCAGCCAAGAGGCCCAGGAGGGGCTTATGGTCCGTAACAATCGTGAAGGGGTGCCCGTAGACGAAGTTGTGGAATTTTTTTTCCCCCTGCCACGATTGCCAACCCCTTCCTGTCGATTTGCGCATAGTTGCGCTCCGCGGCCGTCAATGTCCGTGAGTAATAGGCCACGGGGACCTCATGGCCATCGGGGAGGATGTGGCCCAGAACCACGCCGACGCCATAGGGAGAGGCGTTGCACGCAAGGACAATTGGGAGGGATTCGTCAAAGTGGGCGAGCACGTCATTCGAAATTAAGAGCGCTTTCACCCCCCTGAATGCCGCCACCTCCCTCGGGCCCCAGGTCCATGGGGCCGACCTATCCAGGAGCCGGTGTAGGGGTTCCACTACTGCAGCCTTGTGAGGCAAAAAGGCGGGGTAAAAGTTTATTAGTCCCAAGAACGCCTGTAGTTCAGCTTTGCAAGTGGAGGCGGGAGCCTCCACGATGGCCTTCACTTTGTCCTTCGTTGGATGAAGGCCGGTAACATCTACCCGGAACCCCAGGAAATCCACCTCCAGAACCCCGAGGAGGCACTTCTCCCGTTTCACCTTGAGGCCAGCTGAGTCGAAGCGTCGCAGGACGGCGCAGAGGCGGGAGGCGAAGTCGTCGGGGGACGCTGTGGCAATCAAGACGCCGTCGGAAAACGGCATCACTCCAGGGATCCCTTTTAACAATGAATCCATTAGTTGCTGGGAAATCCCTGGGGCTACGCTCATGCCGAATTGTAGCCTCTTTACCTTAAAAGCTCCCCTGTGGGTGACTATTGTCTGCACGGTAGCCGTGGCCTCGTCTACTGGCAGCTGTTGATAGGCTTGTGCGAGATCCAGTTTCCCAAAAATCTTAGCTCCCACTAGCGAGGCTAGAACATGGCTAACGAACGGGACCGGATAGGAGTGGTCGTGAAGGGCCTTATTGATCGTACACTTGTAGTCCGCGCAGATGCGGACCTCACCGTTGGGCTTCAGGGGGGTCACAATGGGCGTTTCCCATATGGCAAGTGGGACGGGCTCCAAGACCCCTTGCGCTATCAAGTGGTCCAGCTCCGCATCAATTTTTGACCGTATGGCAAGTGGAGCTGTGCGGAACCGCATGCGGATTGGAGCCACCAGGGGGTCTAACTGTAAGGAAACCGTGGAGCCCTTGTAGCAACCCAAAGCCCCATCGAAAATAGCCGGAATCTCCCCGCAAATCTCTGAAAAGTCTCTCAGACCACATTTTAGCCCCACCCCCACCCCGACTGTGATGTCCAGCGGCGCAAACCAGGCCCGGCCCAGCAGACTGACCAGATTTCCCTCAACCACTATCAAGACCAACAGTCCCTCGAACCCCTGGAACTGTACCCGACACGTCCCCACACCCCGTCTAGGAACTGGGTTCCTTTGGAAGTCTACCAAACTCACTTGGGGTGGGCATAAGCGGGGGGCAAAGTCTGCGTAGCATGTCCACGGAAATGATGGACGCTGCTGACCCCAAGTCCACTTCCATCGTGCAGGGGGACCCTTCGATCCGTATTATTAGTTGGATCTTCGGGGTAGTCTCTAATTTCGAGAGACGTAGTACCTGTAGAGATGGCTGGTCCGTGAGGAGGTAGAGGTCGGACGTCTCTGCTGCCGTCTCGTGGGTGGCGGTGGCCGGGCGGAGTGACTGCACTGGAGACGGCTGGTGCCAGCTTCCATTTGACTGGAAAGAGAGAGACTGGAGAGAGAGAGACTGGAGAGAGAAAGAGAGAGTGTAGAGAGAGACTGGAGAGAGAGAGAGAGACTGGAGAGAGAGGAGAAAGCCTGGAGAGAGAGACTGGAGAGAGAGAGACTGGAGAAAGAGAGACTGGAGAGAGAGAGAGAGACTGGAGAGATAGAGACAGGAGAGAGTGGAGAGAGACTTTAGAGAGGGACTGTAGAGAGAAAGACTGGAGAGAGAGAGAGGGAGGGAGGGAGACTGGAGAGAGAGACTGAGATTAGATGTTCCTTACATGAGATGAGATGTTCCTTACATTAGTGACTACGAACTGAGATGAGATGTTCCTTACATGAGATGAGATGAGATCTTCCTCATATGAGA